CTCCTAGAGCCAGCCGGTGCTTCTCCATATGCCTCAGTGGACAGACATGCAGACTCAGCCTTCCTTTAACAACACTTGGCTTGCAGAGCAAAGGGCAGCCTTTCAGGGACAAGTAGGAAAAAATACATGCTGCTGGCCCATTCACCGGCGGATGGAATATGTGATGCTGACTGCAGAGAAGTTGTCTGTGACCACAAAAGACTGGCAGGCCCTTCCTCCCAGTGTTGTCTCCCTGGCATATGCCACGTCTTGCTGCTCAGTGCTGCAGCAGGTCAGTATGACTTCCCCTCCCAGCACACCTCCCATGCAGGCACAGCACAGCACCCACCGTCTCACTAATGTCATCCAAGCTGGGAGGAGGTGGTCCAGGTCCACAAGACTTGCCTCAGGTCTCTCTCTGGGCTCTGGTGACCCAGTGCACTTATTCCCTGTGGCATGGATTGATCCAACCTCAATTTGGGAAAACACAACAGAGGGAAAGTATTGCAAGGAAGGGCTGGGAAGATCCACCAGCCATTACAACACTGGCATTTCTGGACTGCCAACGCTATTCAAGGAGGACGTAGATTTGGAAGAGCTGACTCTGTTGTGAATATCAGAGGTGGAATGAAGCCTCGGAGGTTGCACATTGATATGAACTCACCTAAAATTGGTGGTGGGGCAGGGAGGGGGAGCTTTGGAACTGACTTAGTCTGTGATTGGGATGGGGGCCAACTAGAAAGCTGGTGTTCTGGAATGTCTTGTCCAGACTTTGCTTTATCATGAAGTGTTACTTGGATGCTGAAGTTTTGTGCTTATGCTGAGTGAGGGGAAATTAGGATGCTACTGCACTGGATCCTTTTCCCAGCTGTGGGGAGGACATTTAAGAGCAGAAAGTCAACTCACAGCTCTCTTTGTAGCCTAGTGATTATCCTACACTATCATACTCATGAAGTGCAGTAGGTATCGAATGCCTTGGTGAATGGTTTGATGCTATGCCCATCTAGTGAGGGATCTGCACACGTACCAACATTGCCACCGCCCGTGGAACCATGATGCCATCTATTTGGGTGTCCTCTCAGTACCAGTGATCTCCCTGCCCACTACAGTAACAAGGCTGTCTGTGGAGGATAAGGTTCAATTTTAATGATGGTAGTAGTCAGCTTATGTTCTGGGAATGTATTGCTTTTACCAGGACTTGTGCAAGTACAGATGTTCTGGTTGGTCTTAAAATGATTCCTCCCTAGATAAAATCCAGCTGCAGTGTTTGACTCCCTTCTCAAGAGCCTCTGTCATACTGCTACAATAATAACACTGAGCCAGCTGACAGCAAGGGCTAAACAGTTATGGTTTAAAGTTAAACAAAACATACAGTCTTTCATCAGCACTCGTATATCTGGGTGGTGAGCCCCAGCTGTGAGGGAGAAACCTGGGCCATGAACTACACTTAAGAGTTCTTTCCAAACTGTACTCGGCTCCAGAGCTCCCTATAGGTCTGTGCGCAAAGGGTTGA